CCAAGAATTTCGAAATTGTTGGAATCAATCTTATATCCGTTGTCTATAGCATGCATTGCTATAGCTGAGCTCTTTTCTAGACTTTTTAATTCTACTTCATTTATAGGTGAACGTTTCGTACGCAGCCTGTGTTCATTCACTCTGATCTTCACCTGTCTGCTGCTCTCTCCTATATAGCAAGCTTCACATTTTGAACACTTTATCCTATGGACAAAGTTGTTTTATGACATTTTGGGAAACATATCTTTGACATTCACCAAAGCCTTCTCTAGAGAATTAGACGGCTTGAAATATACTTTAACATTATATGAAGCAAGTAGTCTTTGAAGGTGTTCAGCAGTGTCCTTTCAATATGGAATGGCTATCGTCGACAGCCAAGGATTTTTCAATTTTTCCCTGTTTTTCCCGGATAAGCATTTTCAATCAAAATCTGTTTTGCATTGGAGATCTCGTTCTTCATGTCATCATTATCTGTTATATGTGTCTAGCTCTATTAACGAGATTTAAAACTACTGAAACTTTCATTCCTATTGGATGATCTGATTGGATATTCAAATACTTGTTGGAATGTGTCAGTTTTCTGTATATTGTAAACTTCATTTTCTCGTCAGTTTATCTTTTACGAGACAATCCAAGAAGTTTAGAGTACTCTCAGCCGATCTACATCATTAGTAAACTCTATCTATTCTGAGATTAAGTTAATCTCTGTTAGAAAGTGTTCCTTTTCAGCTTTCTTTATGATGTCAGTGCTTTTCTTTCTACACCTTTCATATACAGATTTGCTACCATTGGAGATGCTGGTGATTCCATTACAACTCCGTTTATCTGACAGTATAGTTTGTCGTTAAAGGCAAAATAGGTAATTCTAAACAAAGTTTTAAGCAACTTATAACTTCTTCAATTGATAATAAACACTTAGCTAATATTTCCTGATTGTTCATATGAATTGTGATCAAGATTTGACAGAATAGTTCCAAAATAATTGGGGCCCACAGTGAGAAGCAGACTAAGCTTCTACATAAAGGTTTTAGTTCGTGTAAAGAAAGACTAACTGCAGAAGCCCTACACATATATGAATGAATCCCAACAGTTTGAACAGACGTGAAGGTGTGATGTTAGCTGATACATGCCAAATCCTGATTAATTAATAAAAATAAAATAAATTCCCGATTGTCTATACCTTCTTATGGAGAGGCTAACATATGTTTTACAATTGTTTAGCCATAAACACACCATTGTACACCACATATATACACACACGTACATTTTCATATTCAGTTATCTACGACCATCAACTTTCATTATTATTATTATGTTATTGTTCCTTTGGGTTCCTAGTGGAACATAGGGCTTCAACTGCACGCCTCCACTTGCTTCTGTCTTCTGCTGTACTTTACACCTGCATCCATGTTAGCCCATGCTGTTTCAACTCCTCTTCACACAATCTCCACCATGTCACCCTTGGACGTCACACTCGCCGTTTCCCTTTCGGGTTCCACTCGAGCGTTGGCCTGACGCGCAATGTCACCCAACGGCCTCCTCAGTGAGTGTCCAATCCATCTCCACTTTCTCCTGCATATTTGTTGGGCGATTGGTTCTTGTTTTGTTTGTTCCCATAGCTTCTTATTGGTGATTCTTTCCGGCCATCTGATCTTCAGTATGGAACGAAGACAGTTGTTGATAAAGGTTTGCAACAAATTGTTGGAAATATTCTTTGTGATCCGCCAAGTTTCTGGTGCGTATAGAAGAACTGACTTGACTGACGTTTGTATTGAAAACCCGAATTTTGTTGTTGATGCTGGGTTGAGTGAGGAAGATTTCCAGATTGGTTCCAGGTTGATGAATGTGTTTCTCGCCTTCCCAATTCTCGACTTGACATCCTCGTCCGTTCCTCGTGTAGTTAAGATAATGCTCCCTAGATAAGTGAACGAAGTAACCTCTTTCAAATCCCTCCCGTTGATGGTGATTGGCGCTGTATGTTGCTGCTGCTGTTGTTGTTGTTGGTTAGTTATTTTCATAACCTCCGTCTTGTCTATATTCACCTGGACTCCTGTCTTTGCTGCTTCTTCGACCAGTTTGTCGGTTTTCGCTTGTAAGTCTTCAATTTTGTGTGAACCATGAACTTTTAGTCGAACCTAATCATTAAAATTCTGACGACAACATAAAAATTAACCCATCCTAAAGAACAATAATTAAGTTGTTTTTCATTCATTGGGAAATACAAACAGAACTTTTATAATAATGAATATCATATACCCATCATGGACATCAGGGGGATAACTGACAAAAAAGGGTTCAGGGGGAAGGGGGAAGCAGGAGGAAAAGTATCAGTATCATCTGTTATTCATTGTATTACTAGCAATTCTTTTCAGAAAAAATTATCAACACAGATTATATATATATATATGAATCAATAAAATGAGCAAAAGATGACAGCAGGTCCCCTGATAAATCATCAGAAATGGATATTCTATTCACAGAGGTTTTTCAACATTTGAAGGATACTTATTACATTCAATCTGGATATAAATGATTTTACATAAACAATATCTTCTATCAAAAAAATACTCTTAAAATACAATTCTGAAGCATGAAAGACGCGAAAAATCAAGGTACTCAGATAGTCCCTCATGGTTTTAGGGATAAAACAATCCCTAGAGTGATGTAGCGGGAGGCTATAATCCATCTTATATAGCCAACGTCTCTTAGACTCCACTGTCGTTCATCTATCAATCAAACTTCCAATATATGTTCACGATGAATTGACTGCTAAAGACGCTGTCGTCTCTAGAGGAGAGACAAAGATAGCCTCGTAATTGAATCACCCACCCAGTTAAGAGAATACAGACTCTGCTTGGTAGTCATTATTCTGTATGCGACATGGCTTCATATATACACACACATAAAACAAAGGAAAACTAATGATAAGGAATATAATCGTTTTCTAGATGAGAAACTTCCACGTCTTTAATGATTGTGTAACTGACCGCAGCATACACACGGATCTTAGTTAGAGAACCATCGGAAAATCAACGTGAGTAACTGTAACATCACTTATGACATCGGCTGACGGTCACAAATTGACAGAAGTGGGAATTCATGGGCCACTGAGTAGGATCCCAGTGGATGAACGGTCTACTAGTTCATCTTGTGATCGGAAGGTCTTGAATCAAACTCCAGGACAAAACAACTATCCTACAGATGTCATCTCGTGATCAAATCTGCAACCAGTCGTCAAATGCCTGTGCACCGAAACTTGGCAAGCATATAACTCAAAGCAACAGAAGTTTCACCATGTGCATACACCAAAATTCAGATATAGACCCCTCGCCTCTCAATCTCAAGAAAGTGAAGACACAGCCAGCTGGATAAAAAATCAAGAAGAGAAGTAGTAGCTCAGACCATTCATTATCTAGTCGAAGAAATCTTCAAGAAGAAGTTCAACACCTAGAAACTGAGAGACAAAGCTACAAAGGACAGCTTTCTAGCCGTCATCAGGAAAAAGACGAAAGAGCACCAAGCAACATCACTGAGGAGACCTGCATGGAAGAACACTGAAATTCCCTCTCACTCACTCACTGTGTTATAGTTTGTAATCTATGAGCTAAAAAGCAGAGTCTAATAACAACAATGATTCTCACAGGAAGACTTGTCTCCTTTCTTATTTACTGCGATCAGATATAAGTAGTATATCAGTAAACGAGTTCAGAAAAGGAACAATATGTTCCCGACACTGAAAAAAACAAAGCAAATGAAGAACAGAACTGTGAGGAAAAACGTTAGAAGCACTGTAAAAGAACCTTAGGAAGCTATCCGAATGTGGTGATGATATTCGACCAATTTGCACATAATGTGCAAATAAAGCATTAGAGATCATGTACACCAAATTTTTGTACCTACAATCAGTTTTCTCCGAAAAAGATTCCCTCAAGCCTAATCGGTCCCCTACTTCGTTACGCTACTTATGTGGGTAAGAGCTGTCCGCTAGCCAAAAATTACAGACAACAGTTTACATCAATGTTTACGTCCCGAATCGATGTCATAAGAAAAAAACAATAACAAGGCTTAAGCTTAAGGAACTCACCAAACAATCACAGCAGACTTAACGCGAGCCAAATACGATTCGCAGAAACATGGCTTAACTTTCTAAGAAACGGTCACAAGCAATACAGAATAACCTTGAGCAAGAAAACAACCAATCAGAAGAGGTTGCTTCTCTGTTAACAAAAACATAAAAATCTATAAATATCTCTTGATTTCCCAAAAAAACGACCTGTTTCCTGACCCTTGTCTTCTATCTTTACACTACTTCTAAAAGGGTTCAAAAAGGCTGAAGTCCCATGTTCCGCTTGAAATAGAAAACGGGGTTAAAAAAAATAGACAAAATTAGTAAAAAAAAAGTTTATTATTATTATTATTATTGATCATATATGATATCTAATAGGCCTTTAACAGATTCAAGGGTTTCATAAAATCTAAGAAAATGACTTTTATAACAAAAAGGTATTAAATAATTAAGAAGGTTAGATTGTTTTTTTAAATTTCTATAGCTACTACTACCATTCATGGTAGTAGTATTGTTGTATTGACTATAAAATGTTGTCTCACTATTATTAGGATGATGACGATTACTCGTCGATCGTGGTAAATAACGACGTGAAATAATATGCTCTCGACGAGTTGGTAAATCGATCGATTCAGATACTGTATGAAGACAAGGGGATGATGTTGGATGACGATTAATCTCAACTTCTTGAATCTCTTGTTCACCTACTGTTCCTTGATTTGACAGTAGTATCGATTGAATATCATCCGACGAATTATCATCAAAGAGACTGTCTCTATCACACTCATCATATCATCATCATCATTATTATGACTTCATTACACAATGGTATTGGTAAGGCAGTTGAATATTGCTCTAATGCAAGTTGACGATTGGCCAGTACACTTCTCCACCAGCGTTGAATTCGTTTAGCCGCTAATTTACGCTTTAAACATCTTTTGAAAACTGTAAAATAATGAAGAGAAAACAATAAAACAAATACATTTATTATTTCAATTGGTCAAAAGATGTTTGTCATAAATTTATTTTATCAAAATATTACGATTAGTTGTGAACAAAGAATATTCCTCTTTGAGTTCTACTACAGTTACAAGATCATAAAATAGTAAGAATTGATTACAGGATTTCATCATGAGTTGAAATCGGTTAGAGAACCACTGGAAAACCAACTGGGGGTACTGGACAGCCAGCTGTTTCGTCCTAGTGCTTCAGACTCTTAACCAGTATGCACCCACCACCAAAGTTCGAAACCAAGACCTACCCTTTACAAGGTGAGTTCGTTAGACCATTAAGTCAGTGGAACTTGATCCAATGGCTAACCCATGAATTCCAACTTCTGCCAATTCATGACATAGCGCGACCGCTAGCCAATGTCGTCGGTAGCGAGTAATTGTCGTCACAGTCGACCTCCTGTACCCTACTGGTCACGACGTCCCACTACAGCCCTGAATACCTGAATAGGACCGGTCGCTAGTGAGCATCTCATTGATTTTCAAGTATTGGTTTGTAGGGATTTGACTAAATGGTTTCAGCAGTAGGCCGAAGAGTCCCAAACTGGGACGAAACAGCTGACTGCCCAGTATTCCCAGGTTGGTTTTCCAATGGTTCTCCCTTCAACCGATGTCAGCTCATGATAAAATCCTGTAACCAATCAATCGAATCCCTACAAACCAATACTTGAAAGTAATTAGAATTATAGTTACTAACAACATTAATGTTCATTAGGTAAAATCAAGTCAATAATATTGACAGATTACAGTTCATAAGCACCTGTAAATGAGTGACAATATGTCGGATTTCAATATCGGATAAATTAAGGAAACGAACAAGGAGGATGATTTACAGGTTCTACAGCAGACCAAGGTAGTGATAATGGCTAGACCTATTTTTATTTTCCACACAGTGTACCAGCTTTTTTAGACAAATAGTAATAGCCTCCGCTGTTAAGTGGGAGTATCCTGTACCGAGAAGCTTCTGACAATTTATCTGGTACCCGATAGAAAAAAAGACTGTTCAACGCTAGCTTTATGGCTTGTTTGGACCAGCTGGCCTAACAATGAACTGTTGATGGTTTCCACTACACCTTTATTTAGTCAAACTGATAGTGTAACGACAGAGAACAAAGGGCAGGCAACAAATCGTTTATTGAGAAAATCAAGAGGTATTTTTAGATTTCTATGTACATTATTACTATTAACGCTATTGTTAGCGCAGAAGCAACCTCTTCTGATTGGTTGTTTTCTTGCTGAAGGTCATTCTGTAATCTCTTTGTGACCGTTTTCTCAGAAAGCTAAGCCATGTATCTGCGAATCGTATTTGCACACGTTAAGTTTGCTGTGATTGGTTGTTGAGTTCCTCAGGGTTAAGCTTTGTTATTGTTTTTTCTCATGACCCCGATTCGGGACGTAACATTGACGTAAACTGCTGTCTACAATTTCGGCCTGCAGACAGCTCTCATCACAATATTATAAAAAAAGTTATGCTTGCTTTCTTGATTATCATTTATGATGTGAAGCAGATCGCATATTTTTTGTAATCGGAATAACTTCAGTTTCCTATGGAAACTGTGGTGGAATTTCAATGAGGACTGTGTAAGCTACAAATCGCGAATTCGATTCAAGGTATTTACCAGCTTGCCAAAGTAGCTAGCCGAAATTCCAATGGTCTCAACGGATTAGTTTCGCTAAGCTGAGTGAGACAGGATACACCATTGATGAGATCGACCCCCGAAAGAGCCAGCCAAATGGCTATCCAATGTATAGATCACTTCTATATATAGCTAACTAGCAAGCAAGCCCTACTGTCTGATATGAGTAGTATATCCAACTACTCATATCAGTCGATCAGTAGTATATATATACATAAAAAATCTATCATCAATTGAAGAAAGACCCAATTTTTATTTGTGAGAATTATTCTTGTTTCAAAATCAGCTCAAGTGTATTCTCAAATCAGTTATCCAATTTCTTCATCATTCTTTTCCGCTCCGGCAGTGTTATTTCTCTGTTCTTACGGGGTAAGGATAGCTAGACTCTTTTTATTGGCTGACTACCGGCTAGTTAACTGGCAGTGAGCATAGACCGGAAATCGAACCTGGAACTCTCACAGGACATTGAACAACCAACTAACCCACACCCAGGTAATCGATTATACAAATAAGTAGTTAGTTAGTTAGTTATGGTGGTATAAGCCAACACGTTTGAAAGAACAATTAATGTGAATCAATGCAGGTGCAAACCAAGCCTACAGCATATTCTTCGTGAGTCGGTGGCACAGCGGTGGAATACTCGCTAACCACACCTCATATGGTCCGGGGTCCGACCCCGGCCACGGACGCACTTCTTTACCTCGCTAAGCCAGTATTTAACAAGACTAGTAAAGAGGGAAGGTTGTGGGGCATGAGGCTAGCAACCCCATCCCGTAAAACTAAACATCACTGCTACCGAAACTTCAAGCCTCTAGCTTGAAAGTGCCCTATTTTCCATGAGGAACCTAAAGGAATAAAAAAAATCGATAATAAAACATTATCCAGTTATTGAAGGCATATCATCACTCTAAGTGTATGTGTATGTATGTGTTAGAACATCAAATAATCTTGTCTAATTCAGGAATTAGTATATTCTACAACACAGCAGTCTCCTAATTCTACTCTTATTTTAATAATAGAAATAATTAGTAAAAAGGTGATTATGTAACTTACATCGTTGTATCACTTTTGCTTTCATATTTAACATAAATTGCTTTAATTTAATTAAATGTTGAAATTGACACTTTGTCAAGTGAATTCGTGTACGACCAAATTGATAGATGATTGGAAAGCTTGAAAATATTTGATGTGATGAATTAATACTACTATTACCATGATTGGTAGTAGTATTAGCATTAACAATAGTTGACTTCTTATGCTGTTTAACTGAGGATAAATTCAATCCAAGTGTTAACAGAATAAGCACAAATTGCTGTTGTTTTTGTTGCGTAGTGGATTCACCTTGCAAAAACAAAATAAGAAAGAGTAATCATAATAGTGAATGAAAGTTTTATTCGATACAGCGGAGAATTCAATTAGTTTATAACCCACTATCCGGTTCAGAGACTTCAGATGCAAATGTGTGTTACAAAAAAATGCATTTCCAACTGAAGACTCATCAAAACTTGTCTCCACCCTCCCAACCCCTCTTTGATGACTCGATATTGAAAATCAGATGGCTAGCCAGAAAGGAATCAAGGCAAAGAATCAACCAGGAACCCATCATTCAACAACAAATACGTGCCAAAGATAAAGAAGATCGGCCGGATGAGCATATGCTGAGAAGATCGTGACATCACGCGACAAGGCCAGAAGTGAAATACAAATGGGAAACGATGAATTAGGCGTAGGTGTGAGGGTAACATGGAGGGAATCGTGCGAGGAGATGAAAACTTATGCGTAATCACTGAGCCAGCCAAAAATGACGACAGAGAACAAAGGGAAGTGGAGACGAGCTGTAGAAGCTATTAGGTCCACTCAGGACCTAAAGGAATGATACTACTAATAATAATGTGACTTCATCGCTAAACTGTATCCACTTAATACACTTTAATTTGTTCTTCTAGTTTAAACAGCACACGCCGCTGAAGAGTCTCAGACCAGGGTGAAACATTTATTCAGTACTGCTTAGTTTTCAATCTCAGTTTAACTGAAGTGTCTCTGAGTTGAGCAAACTACATTGCAATTCACAAAAATCCCTAAAAACACAGAAAGTAGGAATATTAAACGTCAGCTGATGAATGGTTAAAGAATGGATCCCCTGAAGTTCTAAAGAAAGTAGTTAGTCATGGCCAATGAGGTCCTTCATGGCAGGTGTGAAGTGTATACTCATCGATGGAATTGGTTGGCAGTAGACCTATATCGTGAATTTTTCAGTAGCTAAATGGCCATAGAATTCGTCTCGTAACTTGAAGGGGTGTGGTTTCCATCCCTAGTGTAGTCATGGGTGCGCGAAACAGCCATCTAGTAATAATTGGCTTTCGATGGTTCTCTCACTGATGTCATTCTGTGATCACACCTGAAATTATCGATCAAATCCTTACAAACGAACACTTTGAAATTAACCTAATGCTCACTAGGAGGATTCCTATATTTAGAAATCGTGATTAGTGGGGTCCACCAGATCGGGGATGGGGAAGAATACTCACCGACGACATTAGCTGGAGGTCGTTCTATAAGACACCAACTGATGAAAGTTAAAACTCATGGATCATAACAGGATCGCCTCGTTTCCTGAAGGTTCACAGGTTCAAACCCTGGCGGGATTGTGAATGCATACTACTGAAGAGCCCCAAACTAAGACGAAAAAGGTATCCAGTGCTACTTGGCTTTAAATTGATTTCCTAACTATTTTCGTATTCCAAGGCATCAAAATACTCAGATCACTGACTTAGTGCATCCTTTAGAAGTCATTAGTTCCACTAGGAATCCACGAGGAAAATATTAAGAAACAGAAGAAGAAAGAATCGGATAACCGGAGCAGATTATTTTATCTTACGTATTTACCAGGTCAGGCTGTCTAAGTCACATAGCTGTCTTCTAACCATTAGACGAAATTGACAAAGAGATGTAGTTTAATGGCTTATGGAACATGATTTAGGCAAGCAAGTACGTATTTTTGGGAAATTCTCATCAGGCTTATTATTATTCCCTTGGGTTCCGAGTGGAACATAGGGATTCAACAACACATCTCCACCTTCTTCTATTTTCCGCTGTCTTTCACTGGTATCACCCAAACTCTCTCATCTCTTCCTCAAACGATTTCCTCCATGTCACCCTCACACCAACGATCCACTAGTCGCTTCCCATTTGGATTCATCTAGAAGGCCTGGAACGCAATGTCATTTGATGGCCTCCTCAATGTGTGCCCGATCCATCTCCGTTTTCTCCTGTATATTTGTTGAGCAACCGGCTCTCACCTGTTGGTTTGTTCCCACAGTTTCCTGTTACTAATTCCTTCTGGTCATTTGATCTTCAGTATGGAACCAGAGAAGGCAGCTGTTGACGAAAGTCTGAAATCTATTGGAAATCCTTTTAGTGACACGCACTGCAAGTTTCTGACCTGTATAGAAGCACTGGCTGACTTGACATTGGTGTTGAAAATGCGAATCTTTTTCTTTATGATGCTGAGTTACTGCAGAAGATTCCCAAACTGGTTTCAGGTTGATGAAGGCGTATCTTGCTTTTCCGATAATGACTTTGACATCTTCATCTGTTCCGCTGGCCTGTAGTTGAAACCATGCTTCCTGGCCAGATAAGTGAAGGAAGTAACCTCTGTCAAATCTCTCCCATTGATGATGATTGATGCTGGTTGTTGTTGTTGTTGTTGCGGTTAGTTGGTTTTTTTCATCAATTCTGTCTTCACTATGTCCACCTGGAGTCCTGCCTCCATTGGCTGCTAATTTAGTCAGTTTGTTGATTTTCGCCTGCAAGTCTTCGAGTTTGTGCGATGCTAGATATATATAATCTGCGAAATCTAGATCTTCTAGAATCTTCTTATCGGTCTTCCAGAGTATTCTTGATTCCTCGCTCCCCGCTCGCAATCCGCCGTATAATCCAGTCCACCACAATTAGGAATATCATCGGTGATAACGGACACTCAGCCTTATTTTATTCCTGTATTCTCTTCAAAGGCCTCGTTGAGTTTTCCGTTAAGGATCACTTGACAAGTGGCATTGTCATATAGCCACCTGTTGAATGTAGTTTATAAGGACTTGGGCACTGCATATAGTAGTGTTGAGGCAGTTTCCCAATTACGTCTCGGTCAACGCTGTCGAAGACCTTTTCGAAGTCGATGAAGTTAAGGTCAATTTTCACTGCCATTCTATACTTTGTTCGATCAGCAGGCGTACAGTTGCAATTTAATCAGCACATGATTTGCCTTTTCTTAATCCAGCTTGTTCCGGTGGTGGGCGGGCGGAGTTCTGTATCCAGAGCATCCTTTATTGTTTCCAGGATGATGCGACTTAGTATTTTACTTGGCGTAAGTGGACAAGAGCATGATTCCACGCCAGTCAGTTCTTGCACAGTGAGGCCTAAGTCGCCTTTCTTTAGCAGCTTGACGAGGTAGCTTACTACAACTACACAATAAAATAGCCGTCATAGACATTTCAGAAACAATGTAGATCATTAGGACAGAATTTAATCGAGGAAAATGTGCGTAGATTAATAATAATAAAAATAAATTGTGAAACTAATATTATAATATGCAACTATAACACAGTATGATATTGACAATGAAGTTAGCGGTATAAATAAAAATCAAAATAATATTTACAGTTGGCGAGTGTCAGAGGGAAGGATAACTATTCTAGGTTGGGGTCAAAAGCCTCGGGAAAGGAGAGGAATTGAACAAACGCTTTGTAAACACAAGGATTGGGCTGAAATTTTTCTATGACAACTGCCTCAGCTATGCTTAGCATTCCAAGAATTGTGAAGTTTGCACTTTTTAAAAATTAATTTTGTGCTCTGTAACCACTAATTATGTCAATATGGAGTACTTGATTGACTTTATGAACAACTCCTTTACCTAATCCTATTGGACAATACTCAAAAAGACGAAGACGGGCTTATCTAGTCGTTCTACCACCTCTATCTATGAAATTGACTCTCTCTCTCAACAAGAACAGTTAAATTTACAAATGCACATTTAAGTGGCTAGATTCGGCTGCTTATCCTTCATCTGCCTTTGGAAATATACATCGATCGGTGAAATCTAAACATAGCACTGCGGTATCGAATATTTTAACTATTATTTCTCAGAGTTTTAATCCCAGTAATTCCGAAGCTGCGTCTCCTCTGAACAGTAAAGTCATATGTAAAAACTACATTTGTGAAATCTCAGCGAAGTTGAAATAAGTAATTATAACGTTTCCTACGTTCCACACACTGGTCAGTACTTCTTCAGGGAAATTAATGGACATTAAAATAACAGAAGTTTATTTATACATAAAAAGGGGGAAATCTCTTAATTTTTTTTAAATAAAAACTTTGTCCAACCAAATGAGTCATGAAACAGGCATCAACATGTATAATAAACAAACGAAATTGTATGAACTGTTATCAAAACTTGGCCTCAGACTTAGAAATATTAGTCTACTTTTCAAGTATTGGTTTGTAGGGATCTGAGTGATTGGTTACAGGATTTCATCATGAGCTGACATCGGTTGGAGGGAGAACCATTGGAAAACCGGCTACGGAGTACTGTACAGCTGTTTCGTCCTAGTGCCCGGGACTCCTATTTGGCAGTACGCACCCACCACAGGAGGTTCGAAACCAGGACCTTCTGGTTACAAGGCTAGCGAGCTAGCTCGTAGACCATTAAGCCAATACTGGAACCCGAACCAGTGGCCAACCCGTGAATTCCAACTTCTACCAATTCACGACATAGCGCGACCACTAGCCAATGTCATCGGTGGCGAGTATTTTTCCTCACACCGGACCTGCTGCACGGTACTGATCAAAACTTCCTACTGGAACCTACCTGAATAGAGCTAGTCTCTAGTGAGCATCTCATTGATATTTAAGTATTGGTTTATAGACATTTGAAGAGTCCCAAACTAGGACGAAACAGCTGTCCAGTACTCGCTGGGTGGTTTTTAATGGTTCTCTAATTGATGTCAGCTCATAATAAAATCCTATTACAAATATTAGCCTACTTTGGTTAAACACTGTAAACGGTGTGTACTTTTGTAGCATCAGAATTTTAGGGATTATGTTTGACTGAAAGTTCATGGTCGTAGATAACTGAATATGAAAATATTTGTGTATATGCTGTGTACAATGGTGTGTGTATGGATAATCAGTTTTGAAACATTTGTTAGCCTCTCCAAAGAAAGATACACACAATCGGGAATTTAGACCAAGTATGATTAATTAGTGATACATATCCATTTTTATTTATTAACCAGGATTTGTCATGCACCAGCTAACATCACGCCTTCATGTCTGTTCAAACTGTT